CAAAAAAAAAAAAAAAAAAAAAAAAAGAAAAGAAAACAAAATGGTGTCTTCCACTCTAATCATTTAACAGATCTGGATATTCTTCAAAATAGTATCATACTCAGTAGACATTAATTGTATGAAAACTTTTACTGAACCTTTATTATATGTCAGTCACTATGCTAAGCATGTTATATTTATTTTATCAGTTAATTCATGCTGTATGTTCCTGCAGTCAGAGTGTGACATGAGTGTGATGTCACAAAGCCTCTGTTTCCTCATCTGTGTCAAATGAAGATAATAGCGCCCAACTCAGTGAGATTTTAATGGCATTAAATGAGATGGCCATTTATAAAAATGTTTTGTATAAAAAACTTATAAAATGCTTTATATTGTACATGTTCAATAAATAGCAATTGTTATTGTTGATATCAGCTTTCTGATGTAGCTAATACCATTATACCCATTTTACAAAAATAAAGCCTGGGCTCTGAGAGGTTAAATAACTTGCCCAAGTGACATAGCTAGTAAGTGGCAAAGCAGTGGAATATAGATCCTTGTCTGCTGACAGATCTGGCACCTTCCAGGTTATATTGCTTCTCTGATAGTAATGTCTTAGTATTCTCCTCAATTGAAAAAGATGAAGAAAATATGAACATAGTAAAATACTTTCAGCTCAACTCCATTTGGAAATCAGCGCAGGATACTTTCAAGAGTCCTGAGATCTGAATCCACAGCACTTGGTGTTCTGAGTGCATGTGTAGTAAGATTTTCTAATCCAAATACAAGAGAAAATTTTTTGAGGAAATAAAGGGTTGGAATTTTAAACAAGAGGTTAAATTTCATTCTTCTGGAAGAGAGCCTTAGGTAGACATTATAGAAGCCCATAATATTGTCATCAACCATTTGTGAGCTGTCTTATTTAAAGTCAGGGATTTCTGTCTCCCAGGTAGGTGTGTCCTCCAAACACCCACAGAATCATACCAGCTCTGGCTCTTCCTGTGCTGCCATATCTTCAATAGACCTTTTTGTGACTCCATTTCTTTTCTCTAAAACAGACAAAGTCATGCCCTGCCCTTTTTCCACTAGGAATAAGCTGATTTGGATTAAAATAAAAGTTTGAAATATAAAAAAAACATCAATATTACCAAAAGCAAGTGCCTGCCTCTCAGAACCTATTTGGATTTTGCTGCATTTGGCAAACTTGGTGCAGAGTCATCCAAAATCAATTTCAGGAAACCGGTCTTCATTAAACAGATGGCTGTCCTTTTCTCTCCAAGTTCCCACATCTGTGTATCATCGTGCTGATGTCAAGCACCCATCATTTTCCGAGGGTTTGTCTTTACTGCCCAGCGTCTCCTGGATTCATATCCATATCATCACTGTGCCCAGCCAGGCCTCTTTCCCCCTCCAGAGCTGTCGTCTTGGCAGATGCCAAGGCCATGTGACAAGGAAGTGGAAGTGTCTCCTGCCCCTTATAGATGGTCCTGGAGGCTGAGGAAGAGGGCACGTCACTAGTCCAGGTACACAGCTCTGAGCACAAACCTGAGAGTTTAACTCAAATTTGGGGGAACTGGGGTTGGAGGAAGCCGAGGAGTTTTTGAGAGAGCCATTGTACCTCTCACAAACCCCAGCCTTCCTTCACAGTCATTGTTGTAAGTAGCACCATAAGGGAGCCGCTTTTTTTTTTTTTTTTTTGTATTTTTGGCTATGTTGGGTCTTCATTTCTGTGCGAGGTCTTTCTCTAGCTGCGGCAAGCGGGGGCCACTCTTCATCGCGGTGCGCAGGCCTCTCACTATCGTGGCCTCTCCTGTTGTGGAGCACAGGCTCCAGACGCACAGGCTCAGTAGTTGTGGCTCACGGGCCCAGTTGCTCCGCGGTATGTGGGATCTTCCCAGACCAGGGCTCGAACCCGTGTCCCCTGCATTGGCAGGCGGACTCTCAACCACTGCGCCACCAGGGAAGCCCCAAGGGAGCCGTTTTAATTATGGTGCTGGATTCCATTGTTATCTAAAATTGTGCAGCTGAGTCAGAAATCAAAACCTATGTGGGGAAACTTCTGTGCTGTGGCTTTAGAGAGTTTCTAATGACTTCATTGGAGGCAGTTTATACATGCTGACAGTTTTCATGAAAATGGGGACTTTCTCCAAAAAAGATTTTACTCAGCAGAGACCAGCCATCCCCATCTCAGTGGAGAATGGTAGACAGTTGGGTAAGGAGCTGCTGGAATCTTCCTCAGGGCTGCAGAGAATGTTGCAGATGCTGCAGGCATTCCTTGGAAGGTGCCAGAGCACCAGGTGATGCCCGGTGCATTTAATAAACCTACACGCTGGCTTCCACGATGCTGAAGGATTGTGTCCAAGCCTTTTATACACACGGGAATCTGCTCTGCATGGAAGATTCTCTTCTTTCCTTCCATTATTGACCTTGACAAGAAAGAGCCATTCTCCATAGCATTCGTACCCAAGTGCTTTGAGGAAAACATGTACTCTGTGGCTTTCTTGAAAATTCAGATCATCATCTTTATGCAGAAAATCCGTGTTGTCTCGAAAACTTCAGCAAACAAGAGGAAGATGAAATAGAAAGCTCAGTTGGTAGGTGAACTTCCTACTCATTAAGTGTTCAAGTTAAGGAGCCAGTTTCCAGCCTTGGGATCCCATCCATGAACACTACAGAGGTCATGTCCACCCTCACTGAAGCCCAGGCGAGTTTCCTATATTTTTGGTATTAAAATATCCCAGTTTGGCCATTTTACAAGAAAAGCCCAGAACGAGTCGGACCAACAGTGCTCTTTCATCCTCTGCCTTTCTGCCTGACAATGAACAAGCCACTTAAATCTTCTAGCTTCTGTTCTCCCTCCATCCTAACCTAGCACAGACCCAAAATACCACCTGCCTCTCACTTGCACTTTGAAATCTGTGGATAAAAAGGACAGAAATGGGCAATTTATTTGGCATTGCATGGCTTTAGGGTCAGAGTTTTACAACCAAAAGAAACTGGAATAATCTTTTCTTCTGGTGATAAATGCCAACTTTATGGATGTCCTTTTTGAACAGGCAGGAGAGTTTGGGGCTTAAATCATTCTTTCACAGAAGTTTTGGTCTCTTATTCTTATCTCAAGAGAAGCGTATAATTTAATGGCTCCTTTTTTGTATTTTATAAAAACCACATTAGAATGCTTCAAAAGACTAAAA